TTAACCTATTAGTTTCCAACATTATGAGCAAATAAACTATAAAATTAAGTTTCAATTTTAACTATTTGAATCAAAACCAACGTAAAGCTTCACTGAGGTAAGGACAGGCACGTGAGAATTCATACTAATAATAACCTGGTCTCTTGCTGAGTTTTGTTGACCGAACACATCAGCTTCTGCTAGTATGTAAGTTTTTCTTCTGATGTGAACTGATCTGATGGTGTAAATGGCTGCTACTGCCAAGATGTATTTTTCAGAGTATCAGGTAAGTTCTTCAAGTCAACTAAAATTTCTGGGCTTCTAAAAGGAAGCTTACACTAGAAATGTATGGCTATTTAAGAATATTGACATCACATACACAATTATAATACAAAAGAAACTTTAACAGTGCTGTAAGTCAGACATGTAAAGGCATCTTTTGTTTTGGGGCAATGGCTGCTAAACTTCATGGAAAGAATCCAAGGACTTTAATAAGCTTTGGATTGGCCACATTATTACTATGACTGTAATTCTTGATTCCTCTTGTAACATCTCAGGCCATGTGAGAAACTCAGGAAAAGCAATTAACATTCCACCATTGACTTTTGTATTTATGTTTTAAATTTACCACTTAAGACTTTAATTCTCCATAAAACTGCTTAAATATACATAACTTCAGTGTTATTTAAATGCTTTATGATCTTCATGAAATGATTAGCTAATTAAAATCACTTATCTAATTTAGTACCTACAATTTACCTTCATTTATTTGGGAGGAATTGGATTTAATGTGCAGCTTTGGTCTGTTTTCTTTGTCAGAAAATCTTAATTTGGAAGGAAAATTGTGATTAAATACTGGGGGAGGGGAACACGTCTTCTAGGCTGCAAACTTAAACTAGCGGTAATCATTAGCTACCATGTATGACACAGTGAATATAATTAAGAAATAAATTTATTATAGAAACTTGGAATTATCAATTAAAAAGTAGTCAGTGCAGTCCCACAAGGTCCAACTTGATTACTCACGTTATCTGGGCTGTCACTTCCAATGCTGGTTTGAATCTCAAAGACCTCTGAGGGGTGCTCTGTGTGTCAAGTTAAATAAGTGAGACAACCTTAGTGGAAAAATGCAGTGGTACAAGCGGGTGCAAACACAACTCTTTTAGAGGAAAATAAAGATGTCAGCTTCAGCTTGAATATTATTGGCAAACTGTTTTTCCTTCCTGCTGTACTTCTGAGTTGACTGACAGAACAAGTCAATTTGTGGCTGAATCGCTGCCCGTGTGATGTGTTAGGAGGGGAAGAACCACGGGGGCATTGAAGGACACTGTGGCCTGTTACATTTTTTCTTAATTATTACCTTTGCAGACTTTGATTTTTTCCTCTGAAGAGATTTCTCAGGTCAGAAAAGACCATTAAATTAGCCAGTATGACCTTGTATACATGCTAGGACAGTAGGCAACACTCACTGACCCACCCTCCATGCACTGTCCTCCTCCTTTCTCCAGGCCATCTCTCACAATACTGACCTACAGATTTATCTCAAGTACGAGGCAACAAATCAGTGCCAAAAAGTTCATAGCTCCTCCTATCAGCCTTTCTCTCTAAAATCCCAGCTCCAGCAAAATGATTCTGATGCTCACTCTAAATCAGAATGAAAAAATTGGCATGCACTGAAGAGCCAGGTTTTGTTTCTTGTGTTGAGCGTCTCACATCTCTATTGCTCTGGGGTCTAGCTCAGACTAGAAATAAAATTAATAGAAAATGTCACCTTATCATATATTTGACCTGATGGGCGTAGATGGACCTTAAATATTTCATACTCAGCTGTGGAGGCCAGGTACACCTATTTATGAATTCAGATGAAAGCAGAACAGAGTTAAAGCATAAGTTGTTTATCCACAGGCTCACAATAAAATCCTAATCTTTTCTAGCACCACATAACTTCTTCAAACCAGCTTACATCAAGAGACCTAACACCTTCCTCACAGCTCCAGAATCTATCTACGCAGGAAAAATTCTGGCATTTACCCCAAACAAGGGGAAACAATAACGGTACACAATTAACTATACTGTCATTTAGAGTACAATTTGAAGACTTTATTTTGGCTCTGAATCTAAGACCACTGTAGACACAGGAATACTGACAGATAGTGATAGTCTCCTCTTTTAATACTAAGCTGACAGCATCAACACTGTTCTTCAACTTGGTATCAAGGAGTGTCAGGAAGAGTGAAATACAGTTTACCTTGTCACATCATGCAAAATGAAGCATCTCTGTGTTTCCCTAGATTCACCCCCCCCACCAGTGTTCCAAAATGTGCACAACAAAACCTCATGAAACTCAGATGATTTCAGATCGTGTTACAAAGTCAAAACACAGAACAGATTCACTGAAAGATTTGCTAAGGTTCACCAACCTGTTGAGTGAACCTGGGCCCAGTTCCAGGCAAATCTGGATTGATTAATGTTTTCTTTAAATCAACATCACCTGACATTGTTTGCTGCTGAAGTGAATCTCAGCTTTTTCTTTTCTCTTTGAATTTTGGATCAGTTTAAGTACGGAGCTGAAAATAGCACGTGGAAAACAGATCTGTCCAATACTAAATAAAGAGCATGTAGAATTGTTTCCTGCAAAGCGATGAAATATTGCAAAACCTGCACCCTACCAACCTCATCAACATTTTGCAGTGTTATTAGCCTTTTGGTGAGGATCAGGCATAGGGCTTTTTTCAAACTGTCCAAACATTTACAAACAGAACAGTACACAGCTTTTCAAACAGGGGACCAAACTGATAGATACTCAGCTACACAGAATGGCACCTCTTTCTGCTAATGGACCCCCTGACATCAATGGAACTACATATAGAGTGATATACCACTACCCATTGTGAATAAGAGCTACTGTAAATAAGCTCTGGAAACCATATTCCAGCTGCAGTTGTGGTTGGTGGCTTGCTGCATTCCAGCACTTGCTAAATACAAATAAATGAAATAAAGTGGGAGATAGTAATACTCTGATTTCTGTTAGCACCAGCTATACATTTGTTCCAAGTGTCTCAGCAATCAGAAGACTACATAAATACCTTGCCATGCCTGTGGGATCCCATGCTAAGTTATAATCCATCACTGAAGCAGGCAGCAGCTCTTGAAGATATACTAAAGCATTTCTGAGGTTGAATGTAATTCACTGCTATACTCTCTGGTTGCATGTTTATTTCATCTCATAGGAAGAAGTGGCTACCTGTGGAGTGCTTGTATGCTGTAAATTTCACTTAAAATTTGTGTCATATTAAACAATTATTGACCAAAGGCTCTGTAATTCACCAGCTGATTTATTTTCTCCTTTCTATAAGAACTCTGTCAATAACTTTTACATTCTGTAGGACTACCCTGACACTCAGCTTAGCTGTATTTCTATCATTGCTTGAGAACTGCAGGACTAAGCCACGTAAAACCATTCAGACAAAACAAAAATCTGTCCTGTTCTGTCCTTCCTACACAAACATTTGTGTTTATAAATATATATATATACACACATCACATAATTGCTTTATTTATTTGGTTCATTTCTGACTCCTGGTTTGAGACAAACAAAAAAAATAAGGAAAATGTTAAAGAACTGCCAAAGTTTCTGTTGAAATGGAAAAGGAAGGGAATATTGTAAGATAGACTGCTCCCTCAATTTCTTCTTGCCTATTTGCAGTCCCAGTGGACTCACACAAGCTTTGAACAAGCACAAAGGCCTGGCAGTGCTGACATGAGCTGAACTGCCCTAGCCTTGTGAAATTCAACCATTGCAACTTCAGGATCAGCTTTGGCAAAATGCAGATATCAGCCCAGAAGAAAAAGAGATTTAAAACCAACTAGATTCTGAAAGAGAACTTTTGTCAGCAACTGAGAAAGTCCCCAAATTTCCCCATCAGGGAATGTTCTAGCAGCTTAATTTTTCCCTTATTTGTTTGTATTGCACTGAAGTCCATCCAAGTGTCCCCGCTTTTTCTCGTTACTACTGATTTAATTGTTGGTACCCACTAAGGATTCAAAACAAAAGGAATCTTTAAGGTTCAGGCTGTAAATACATCACCGAGTCCCGACAGTCTAGGGATGTCAAAGGCATGAAATGATGACCATGAAAGGGAACTCTGCATCTGTGTTTGCTTAGTGGAACTGCAGGGCTGACCTGCAGGACTGATGTGGCTGTTTAATATGGTCTCTGCAAACCGTTCAATAACAGCAGAACTGCAGTTTAATCCTCTTACCATTACCATTGACATTATTTCATGTCCCACGAATTCCAACCCATCTGCAGGAGAAATACTTACCTCTCTGGCAAGACAACAGAGAGAGCCAAATTCTTCAAAAGGCTGCCACAATCTTTCAGAATTTTAATTTTTTTTTTTTGCATGGTAACATTTTTGCATAGCACCATAGTCTAAGTTTCATATCAATTCTATTCCTGTAAGTCAGGGGTAAAGGTAATGCATGATGAGGATCAGAGCCTAAAGCTCTATGAAATTGAATTTTTTGAAGCAGATACACAAGGATATTTTGAGACCATATATTCAAAGGATCAGAAGCAAAACCCTCAATTATTTGACTTTCAGGAGAACAAAAAATTATATTCAAACTAGAAGGAGATAAGTGTGAGATTTGAAAAGCTTCAGAAGTGCCTGTAATCCTGCTTTGCAAATTCTTGTTCAGTTTTTGCAGGGTTCTTCCTATTCAGTTGAATTCCCTATGAAGAGTTCACATGTAAATGGACATGACCAAGCTTTTCACACAGTGATTCCCAATTCAATGTCCAACATTATAAAACTGACTTAAAAATTACTGGGGGGAGTAAAAAAAAAAAAAAAAAAGAAATGATTACACAATAGCATTAATCATTCTTATTGGTTCTCCCATACATTTTTAGAGGATCACAAAGAGTGTCACACCTTGAAGGTGAAGGATTCGAGGGAGTGAAAACCTTCTGGCTTTGGAATGAAACACTTCTGATGCTGTATGATCATTCTTACCTCTCTCTGCAACCTTTGGGGAGTCACAGTCCATCCACGGAGAATCACTCATTGAATGGAGCAGTAAGAGCTTTGTGCTACCATTTGTGTCATGTCACTGTCTTCTGGCAGAGGACACAAGTGAGTCTGAAACCAAAGCAGACACTTAGTGTGAATGAACTGCAAAAAAACCCCAGAATATTACAAAATCTGGAAGACTGGTTAACAGCAGTGTCCTAGTCAGAGTATATACACCACAGAAACTGGTTGAGGGAAGAATGTTTCTGTATACAATACACTCAGGCTCTCACTATCACTTAATCCCTCTTCCATCTATGCTAAATTCCAGCTGCAGGCCGGACTGCCTCTGAAGAATCAGAGCTAATAGCAAAGTAACAGTCATATCTATTGGCTCTTTCACCAGCATTTCACAACAGATATCACATGATTAGGTGCTAAGCAGGACTATTTGCACTTCTGCTTATAGCACATGTGATTATGTAATTCTGTGTAATGCCAAAATGGCTATTTAAGTAGCAGCTACACAAAACAGAGATACTGGTTGGACAGCACAGAAAATACAATCTTAAATAAAACTATCACAGTAAAAGTACACAAATGCATAAACATATATATGTGTTTGTGTACTTATGCACCTTCCATAGAATGTTTTCCAAATGTGGACACATTGGGTGTTTTTTCCCAAAAAGATTGAGTTAACAGTTCTAAAGCAAGACTCTGCCTCTCTTTCTCCCTAGAAAAGTTGTGCTTCCTTACAATACAACTTGTGGTTTGACAGATCCTTAAAACCTAATGGATGAAGTCCTTTGAGTTTATGATCTCATCTGTCAGCTGCTGCTGATGTTTGTCACCATCTGGCTGGCACTAGATGGCTCTTTCAGAGTTTTAGGTGAGGTAGCATTGCACGTATTTGAGCACTGAGTTTGCCAGCGGTTTAAAAGCTCTGTCTGGACAGGCACTTATGGGTAGCTAAGTGGGAGAGATGTGTGCAGACACACTGCATAGAGTCACCCTCTGTCAAGTTCCTCTTATGGAACTGGATGAATAACTTTCCTTGCCCTAAAATAATACAGAGGAAGGTACATCCCGTTTACATTTATTATTTTTCAGATGAGACACGACCTATTTTCATGGCATAGGAGCAGAGCTTCTGTGAACTTTGATGAAGCATCCCACAAAGTATCAAGGTTAGTTAGGAATGCTGCTGTATTTCAAAACATGTCCCTCTAACTGTATGGGCAAGGTGGTGATGATGATAGGAGTCTCCCACCGAGGTGCTCCACAGAGGTCAGAAGAAGATCACCATTTGTTTAATTTAAATAAATCGATTTGTTAAACAAGGAGCTGCCGAGATTATACAGTTAGAGGGGGGAGAGCAAAGAAAGATAATTATTTTTGTTTGCATAAATCATTTTCTTATTACTTGGGGATCAGGGTGGTATTGTTTGGGTTTGAGAAAGGAGGGCAAAAGAAGATAAGTGTATCAATTTGCTGATCAGGGTTACATGGGATTTTGCCTTTGGGCTTGGCTAAAGGAAAGAAGATCATTACTTTTATTTAAATAAATCAATTTGTTGTGATCAGGGATCACATGGGGTTGTGCAGTTTGCAAGGAAGGCACAGGAAATTCTCTTATGGATAGTTTGGTGTAGAACAAATATTCAAACAGTCCTCTGATAGAAGGAGAAAGGACCAAAAAAAAACCCACCAACTTCAGGATGCCAAAGCTATGTTTAGATTTTGTTCTTTTTTAAGATCCCATTTTTGCTATCTTGTGATGGTCTCCATTTTGATGTACACTTTTAACAAATTGAGTTACGGTTTATGTATATAAAACACATATTTAGATAATGCAGATAGATAGACAGACAGACAGAAAGACAGCAGCTAATAGGACCTGATCCTGCAAAAGCTCTCATATTGCTGTAACTAACGGGAAAGCTGTAATTGCCTTCCCAGGAGGTAGGACCAGTCTTCCACTGAGGAATATTCACTGAAATCAATGGCCATTCTGTGCACAGACACTTTGAGGGCCTGATATTTGTTGCTTCTTTTCTGAGGCGATTAATGAAGCTCTGTGTGTAATTTTAAAGGCTCTTCATGAACTAACTGGAAATCTACAGCACTGAACATCAGCGAACTCATATCCAAAACTAATAGGCTCAGTATTACTGCCAAAAATTGACTAAGCGCTCTTTGTGCCTGCAAATAGGGTTCTGTAGGCAGTATCCTTCTATCTGCCTTCAAGGGATAATCTCCTCTTACAAATAAAACAATTGTTTCATTTGCTCATTGCAATGGTTGAATGAGGCTGCAGAAATGAATGTCACTGGTTTTGAACGTTCCAAAGTCAACCAGGGGAGAACCTGGGGAGTGGGGCTGCATTCAGCTAACACATATTGCTCTATGCAAAGCTAATTTAAAAATGCATTTTCACAGGTTTGAAGGCAATTCATGCAAATTAATGAGCAAACCATTCTTAGACACATATTAGAGATATAGAAGGTCTTAGGTTGGAAGGGACCTCAAGGTCCCCATCCAACCTTGTTCTGAACATCCCCAGGGATGTTCCAACGGTTCCAGTACCTCACCACCCTTTATGTCATCAGTACCACTCAGGTTGGTGTCATCAACAAACCTGCTGAAGGTATACCCAATCCCACTGTTAAGGTCGTTGACAAAGATGTTAAACACCAGTCCACAAGATGGAACCCTGATAGACACTTGTCACTGGCCTCCACTTGGACATAGAGCCACTGACCACAACCCTCTGGCTACAACCATCCAACCAACTCTTTACGCAATGGATAGTCCAGCCTTCAAATCCATATTTCTCCAATTCATAGATAAGAATGTGGTGCAGAAGGCCATGTCAAAGGCCTTGTCAAAGGCCTTGTGCAAGTCCAAGTTCTCATTATATCAAATAAAAAATGGCCCAACTGTAGCACTTAAGTAAAACGTCTGTATATGCAGGAACAAGGTGTACCATACACTACCTTGGAGTAAAAAGAATGAACAATCTAGTTAGCTCTTTAACAAATTAAACACCGTTAGAGTAATTACAGAAAATAGTGGGCCTTAACCATCCCTTGGGTGATTTCAGAGCCAATGGTGCAGTCCAGAGGATGAATTTGCATTTATAACAAGAATGATAAATCTAACTAAACATCTTTATTTTTACAGTACGTTAAAGAAGCATTTTTATTTAGTGCAGTCATATATCTCCACATTATTTTGAAGTATGCTCCTTTATTGCTTTTATGTCTTCAGAATTGCCTGAGGAAAGCATCCTTTTCTCCCTGTGTTTCATTGTTGCTACCCTTGTAGAGCATAACATGCACAAACTTGATTATGATTAATTGAGGGCTCTGGCAAATTATGTTTTTATTCATTTCCATCTAAGTCTTCCATCTGCTCAAGGAAAAAGAAGGAAATTTTACATTTATAAGGACACTTAGGGCTTTGTGGGTAAAACATCAGAACAACATGTTCAGCAGTAATGGCTACAAGTGAAGACAGCCTTTCTTCACTTGCACTCTTGCTCTTAGATCATCAACACAATGCATCCCCATCCTACAGGGAAGGCTGACGATAACTAGTCAAACCGCATTTGATCCAAAATCCTCCTGCAGAGCTGGAATTTCAAACTGAATTAAACAAGTTTAGAGTATTGCTCAATTAGATCCTACCACCAAAGGATCACTTAAAGGAGTTAAGTACTAGGTCTGTAAATATAAACACCTGTGTCCTTCGGCACAATGCATGTAACATCAGGCATGCTATTTATAAGAGGCTCTGATGAAGTTCTTACCCAAGGTGATGCAGCTGCATAGACCAGCCCCATTAGGCCTGGTGTACCACATCAGATAAGGCCCTTCCTTCAGGGTTTATGATTCAGATATATATGCTTGCCATCCCTGGAAATTGGCAAACGAGGTTTCACTTGGCAGTCTGGACTTTGCTTAATAGGATGAATGACAGAAACAAGAAGTCGTGTTTAACTTGTATTAATGCAGGGAGGAAAAGGCAGGGCTTCTTCACTTAAAGACAGCCTTGTTCTCCAGCCTTGTTGATGCATAGCATGGAGTGGTGCCGTTGGCTAATGAAAGAGCTAAACTATTTAGAGATCTTCTTCTCCAAGACCAGGGACTTGAAATAACAAAACAAAACAACAACAACAAAAAAATTCAGCAAAAAAATACAGATATGTTCTGCCAATCGTAAGCCACATCAGACACAGCTTGTGCCAGACGGCTAGCAAGGATGTTACTTCAGTGCTTCTGTATATGGGCGGACAGAGGGGAGGCTAAGTATCAAAACCAAGTTGTTTGTGGTCCAAGCGAACCAGGGCACATTTACAAGTAGATATAGAAGCTACAAATCCTTTGCCAAGGTTTGCAAAAATCCTTGTCATACATGTACTGACAGCAGTGCTGTAAAACCTCTCAGCAGTATGCTGAAGGTAATTTTCTCTGGTAGCCTCAAAGTAGATGAAGAAACCACTTTTTCTAACTGACATGGTTCGTGCAGTACAACCATCTCTGTGGAAAGGTTTTTGGGTCAGGCCTCCTCCAGGATGAGTGAACCAAGTACAGGACGGCAGATGAAGGCCACAGTCACTGCCAGGTCTACAGGGAACATAACGAGCAGTCTGTACTTAGCAAGGAAGGATGTTCTTTTAAGTCCAAAAGGGTTTCAGTCCCAGCTGAGTTGGCCAAGTCACTTAAGCATTTTGGTTTCTGGGCTCACAAAACAGGCTCATTTACTCACTGCAGTGACACAGTTGCAGTGGAGCTGAGAGATGCCTGATGGCTTTACCAAGAAGCAAACACACCTCCAAGCTCAAACAGGAGATGTGGGGAAATAAAGTAATTTGATGACAAAGCTACTGGAATTGGACTCAGGCGCCCCTGGAAATGCTGTCCCAGCTGGCTGAAGGTGCAACACAAGCATCTTGCTGCAGTCCCTGTTCCCTTGCACGTGGTGCACACATAAGGGCACAGGAGTTCATCCAGTCAGTGTGCGAAGCTCTGCATGAAGCCTCTTTAATTGGGCTTTGTGTGCATGTGTGAATACCATCCTGATACTTACAGGGTACTCAGGGAAACATAAGAATGGCAGCACGG